AAAGCCCTCATAAAACCCCACACTTTTGCAGGTGTGGAAGATGATTTTCAGAGCATGTACATTGATAAATGAGTATACATTATAATTTAATAAGATTCTGCAACTATAATTAAATTTTAATAAGATTCTGAGATTCTGCAACTAATGTAGTGCCAAGGAAGTTTGCCACAGGTTCCCCTAATTATGGCGACCCCTTTATTTACATAAAAATTATGTTTAAATAATTGACTAACGAAACAATCTAAGTAGAACAACACAATTACCAAACGGCTAAACTAACAACTAACAACAGTTTAAAACAGCATCAAAGGATCTAGCCCTTTTGCATTTAACACAGACAGATTTCCAAGTCCGAGGATCATCACAGTTATACGTGTTCAACAGTGCGTTCTTATAATACAACTTCAGTCCTGATTTAAAAGCATAAAAAACAATGTTTCTGTCTTGAAGGTTATCAATTAACATGTTTCAGGTTTTACAAGCTCTAATAAAATACGAGGACTGGACCATTACAGTTTTATAGCAAAACATATTAAGAGTTAGCCTTTCTCAAGATGATGAATATCCGCCATTTTTTGTGTGGCATCTAATTCTCGTCGGGGGTGGATCCAGCAAGGTTTTTCTAGGTGGATGCTCGGCGAGCAGCCAAGTGTTTCTTTATAATTATTTAGGGGGTGGCGGGAGATCATTCAAATGAATTGGCTTCCTAATGACTTGATAGCCAAAGGCGCAAGTTCCCTAGAGGGTCCAGGGGTATACCCCCGGGAAATTTTGAAAATTAGAACCTTAGAAATGCCATTTACTGCATTATGGGCATTGAATTGCGAGCTTCAGTTTGACTTCAAAAAGTTTTCCCTTTGCACCCCTGTTGACTAGGGCCAACAGGGGTGTACAACCCTGTGAACCCCCTATAAATCCACCCCTGATACTTGTTAACCAATACAGACAATTAAAACAATGTGAAAAGCAATTTTTCAAAATAAACTAACCATTTACAAAGCAAATTTACCATCACTTGTGCAGAAAAATATAAAAACTCGCTGTTATGTGAACTTATCTCACAGACTTTGGCTGAAAAGCCACCCAAAAATGGCGGTGTGAGAAAGGCTAATTTAATTCGATTGTTGTTGGTTTCACTTCTAGTGATTCCTGATCCAGATATAACCAGCCGAGCACTGTTGTCAATATGTTGTTAATGATTTTATAGAGTATGAATATATCCAGGTACTCGTGCCAGTAAGTTATGGGTAGTAGGTATAGATTATGTAGTCTTGATGGATATGGTATGTTGGTGACAAACCCAAGATTAATAATAAACCTGGTACTTGCCCCTCTCTGCATCTTCTCAATATTTTGAATTAACTGTACGGATTGTGGACACAATACTTGGGATGCGTACGCAAGATTGCTTCGAACTAGCTTTAAGTACAGATACTTTCTCGCCTTGATGTCAGTCATCTCCAATGTAGACCGCATAATTAATCCAGGCAGATCGTTAGCTTTGGACTTTGCACCTTGCTCATTTGATCTATCCATGTTAATTTGGGACTGATAGTTATACCAAGGTCAGCTATAATAGGCTCTGCCTCGAAATCAGAGCCCATTAAACTGTCTGGTCACTCTGGTGCCATACACAATAGCTTATCAAAGGGAAGATGGCTGTGAAACTCATTAGAATAACAATATAACTCATTATCTATGTTGGTCAACGTTTATTCATAAATCTGGTCCTTCACCGTCATGTGTGTATTGTATTCTTGCCCAACTAACCAATAGACACAAGAAAATATCCGTGGTTCCGGTTCCTGACCGACCCTATTTTTTGCTGCCAACCCTATTATTTTTTCAACACGATTGTGGACCCTATTTTCTCCGGGTGGTCGCGGGCTGCTGTCAAAATGGCGTCTGTTGTCACACTAATTATTGAAAAAACCATGAAAAAAATATTTTAAAAAAATATTATTTCTGACCTACCGACCCTAATTTTTTCGCGATATGAAACCGGAACCACAGGAATTTTTTTACGCCATAGCAATGTTTTAGGAAAGTCACCTATCCATGACTCGAACAATAGGGAAACTTGAAATTGCTATTGGTGGATTTGGTAAAAATACAATACACATGTGACAGTGAAACGGCCAGATCTATAAATAACCGTTGACTAACATCATAATGAGTTATACTGTTATTCTAATGAGTTTCACAGCCATCTTCCATTCGGTAGGCTATGCCTATGGAAACACTTTGCAATAACCACATACCATTTTTGTATAAATTGCTTCAACAATGAATTCAACTGATACATCTGACTTCTTGTGGTACCAGGTATTAAACTTTACATTCATATCCACTGACATCACTGAAACTATTTTAGGATTACTTCCTTTCTCATAAGAACACAATAAACCTCTGTGATAAAGATATACGCCAAACAATTTTGCTGCATCTTGAGCATTTCTGCAATGTAGTGTCAACAGAATATCCTCAAAGGTAACTTCAAAGTCTGAGGATACATAATTGACAGATTCATTTGCCTGTCCAATCTGGAACAAAAATTAAAGAATGCAAATATTAAAGAATATAAATCTTTACCTACGCATGGTTAACTGGCTCCGATTAAAGTCATTTAATACTCTAGATTTAGAAATACCTTCGACTTGTTGTTAACAGATAACTTTTTCAAACATAACAATGTTTCATTCGAATGCTTCTCCATTTTTAATGTCAGCTGAAGTAACAGGATGTTTATGTATTGTTCTGTAATGATGGTCTAAACCATCTTGAGCATAGCAGTGTGCGTTGTCCTCACATTCCTCATGCGGACAAGGAAGTTTATTATCTAAGAACGCTCTGTGATAGGGTCTGTCCTGTTTTGTTGTGAAATTGTCCGCCATTTTGTCTCTGTAATCTGCCAGTCGTTATTTTTCCCTCGCCTCCCTCTTCCCCTTGCGCGCGTCCACATTTGGTACTGATCTATATATATATATATATATATATATATATATATATATATATATATATATATATATATATATATATATATATATATACCTATTCGTCCCTATATATAAAATTGAAATTCAAATAACGACTGGGGACGAGTCTGATCTCACTCCTACTTCATAATAAAGTACATGATCCGGGTTGCCGTTTTAAAACTCCTCGTATGATTACTCCACGCCACTATTCTGTCCGATTATTTCAAACGTTCATATATTGTACAATTTTATATTTATAGGTAATAGACCCATTGCACTGACGTCACAAATCCTTAGAGTGTCCTCCAGATGCTCCCTAACAATACTGTTCGGGTACAACAACCACATGCATACAGCGCAAAAATGAACTATTTTAATACGAAATTATTATAAAGTTTTACAAAATTTGCTTTGTTTGCAGAAGTTATATTATGCATAGATTGCTAATTTGTCCTCCAGATGCATCGTCACCGGCGCTGTGACATCATCTGCAATGGCTCTATAGTATGTTTTCGAGTGCAGTTTGGGAAAAGCATGCACGAGTGAGTTTTTCAAAGACGATCAAAATTGCACGAGTCCGAAGTTGGAATGAAATTGAAGTCTTTGAAAAACTCACGCGTACGAGTGTGTCTTTTTTCGAATTGCACGAAGAATCATACTATTACTTATTAATAATATACATGAAAAAATTATGCAGTCACGTGCGTAAGTCACATTTAGTAATTTTAAAGAAAATTGAGAAATTTAAAATTTAAAATAAAAACAATTAAGAAAATTTTAAAAATTGAGAGGTTCGCAGTATATTTCATTTTTTTGCATTGTATTTCGAAAAAAATGGCTGCTGTTAGCCAATCAGAATTGACAATTTTTTTCATGTACATTATTAGTACTTTTATAGTTTTACATATAAATAGCAATTAGCTGGACGTGCCGTCATGCTCTGCGGTCCATGCATGTATATGTTACAACTTGTCAAGACGAAATATGCTCACGACTCAATACAAATTTTGATAATATGCATGGTATTATACACAACCGTTGCAGAATGTTGCCATTGCGATTTTCAACTCGTTCAATATCAGGTTTCGATCACAATTCGGCCTTCTCATTATAGCCACATCACAGCTACAGGCACTGACTTCGCCATCTTCATGATCGACAAAACAGAAATATGTTCCGATATTTCCTTCTGTTACTCGAAACTTATAGACCTGCTCATTTGAAACTGTCTCTCGTCCTAAAGTCTACCTGAATTTGTTTCCAAAAGATGGGAATGCTTTACAATATAATGTCACTTCTTTTCCAATCTCTTGTTTGTATGAAGTAGCACACGAACATATATTAATATTGGTTTCTTTATACTTTTGACAACGTTTCGCAGAATGCTTTCCGATTAATAGTTCTAAAGCCATCGAATTTCTTATGTTTGATATCATTTCGCTTGCTGGATCGTAAGTCAGCAAACCAAGCTTGTGACTTATGTACATCAGAACAAAAACGCCACAACTTAAAGAATCTTTCTGGCCGAGTCAAAAGAATTTTCCCAAATCATATCGAAATCTTTGATTAACAGTTTGGAATTAATCCTGACCTCGCACGTTTTACGCCACTTGTAAAATGCATCGAAAAAGAATCTTATCAGGCTTATCGCAGTATCATTTTGAATCCCTAGCATAGGAAAGTACGTATAAAATTGTACTATACAGGGTGTATCAAAAAAAGCGCAATCCTCGACTGAAATGTAAATTGCTAAACAAATAATAGACGAAAACGTTAAAGTTTACATTCATTTCAAAGCGTAGCCATTCAGCTTTCTAACAGTCGGTTGTTTCTTAAATTTGACCCATTGGTTCGCGGGTAATAATACTTTACGTTATTGCGATTGGAGATTAAAAAAATTGAGATGGAATAACAAATCGTTCTCATGAAAATAACTGTTTTTTTCATTAAAACAAAAAAATGTTGCATTTTATTAAATGGATTGTAACAATAAGGATAATTACGGCTTTTCTTCCACTATTTTTAACTCAGTTTGAAACTTCAAATGCAATATAATTTTGGCTTGGACCATCCAAGCCGACTGACATCAACTTGCTATAATTTCTGTTTACATTACATCGCAATTCGATGACACTCTGGCCCAGACACCAGAATGTTTTGACGATTTTTAGCATTCGTTTAGGATTTTCAAACAACCTGGTCTCTTTTAAAATACTTTTAATTTGTTCTTACGTGGTTTTCCAGATGTAGTGACGACAACATTAAAGTTTAAAGAAGACAATTCTAACATTTAAACCGACTAAACAATAACATAGTAAACTAGCATAATTAAAAAGCAACTAAAAATTATAGGTTTTACTAAATCTTTTCCTGTGCAATTATTACAAGCATTGGAGACAAGAATAATAGTTTATTTGAAAGAGAAAAGAACAGGCTTTGAAGTAAGCCTAAAAGCGTTTAACTAGAGATAGTATTTCGAAAGTTATTAAGCACAAAAGATGAATTGCGTTTATTTTGATACACCCTGTATGTGGAAGTTTGAAAAAATCGGACAGAATAGAGGCTGAGTTATGAGAAGGTTTATCACGGCAACACGGATAACGTTCTAATCTAATTTATATTTCCGCGTCTAAAGTTGCATGAGTTTGAGTGCGTTTTTCTGTACTTTAACCTCAAGTGCATAATTTGTATGAAGTATCATAGGAAGGTACATATAAAATAGTACAATATATGGAAGTTTGAAAAAATCGGATAGAATAGCGGCTGAGCATAGATATCTTATATACACTAGATAGCGCATCTCTTTTAGTAAAATTGAAGCCAAGAATATTCCAGCGGTTACTCCCATTTGAATAGATGGCGGCCATGTTGGTCGTTCCCACTTGCTAATAAACGCTTAAAAACAACAATAACTTTCATCATTTGAATGGTTTAAAAACGTATTTGGAATAGGGTTAACTTAATGTTTAAGTTCCCTGTTTAAGAAATAGAAAACATACGAATCTTCTCATTTCAAGGGAACGACCTGAGACTGCAATCACGGCTTCAATTTTTGAATTGCAGAATAATTAGATGCACTATCTAGTGTATATAAGATATCTATGGGGCTGAGTTATGAGAAGTTTTAAAACGGCAACCCTGATAACGCAATATATAATCTAATTATAGTAATAAAATTTATATTTCCGCGACTAAAGTTGCATGAGTTTGAGTGCGTTTTTCTGTACTTTAACCTCAAGTGCATAATTTGAATGAAGCAGCATAGAAAAGTACGTATAAAATTGTACTATATGTGGAAGTTTGAAAAAATCGGACAGAATAGAGGCTGAGTTATGAGGTTTATCACGGCAACACGGATAACGTTCTAATCTAATTTATATTTCCGCGACTAAAGTTGCATGAGTTTGAGTGCGTTTTTCTGTACTTTTAACTCAAGTGCATAATTTGAGTGAAATACCATGGGAAAGTACATATAAATTTGTACAAGATATGGAAGTTTGAAAAAATCGGACAGAATAGGGGCGGAGTTATGAGAAGTTTTAAAACGATAACCCAGATAGCGCACTATCAATCTAATTATAGTAATAAAATTTATATTTCCGCGACTAAAGTTGCATGAGTTTGAGTGCATTTTTCGATACTTTCAACTCAAGTGCACATTTTGAGTGAAGTATCATAGTAAGGTACATATAAAATTGTACAATATATGGGAGTTTTAAAAAATCGGATAGAATAGAGGCTGAGTTATCAGAAGGTTTATCACGGCAACACGGACACAGAATACACGGATAACGTTCTAATCTAATTTATATTTACGCGTCCAAAGTTGCACGAGTTTGAGTGCGTTTTTCTGTACTTTAAACTCAAGTGCATAATTTGAATGAAGCAGCATAGGAAAGTACGTATAAAATTCTACTATATGTGGAAGTTTGAAAAAATCGGACAGAATAGAGGCTGAGTTATGAGAATGTTTATCACTGCAACACGGACAACGTTCTAATCTAATTTATATTTCCGCAACTAAAGTTGCATGAGTTTGAGTGCGTTTTTCTGTACTTTATCCTCAAGTGCATAATTTGAATGAAGTATCATAGGAAATTATATATAAAGCTGTACAATATATTGAAGTTTGAAAAAATCGGACAGAATAGAGGCTGAGTTATGAGGAGGTTTATCACGGCAACAGGATAACGTTCTAATCTAATTTATATTTCCGCGACTAAAGTTGCATGAGTTTGAGTGCGTTTTTCTGTACTTTCAACTCAAGTGCATAATTTGAGTGAAGTTGCATAGGAAAGTACATATAAATTTGTACAAGATATGGAAGTTTGAACAAATCGGACACAATAGGGGCGGAGTTATGAGACGTTTTAAAACGATAACTCGCATAGCGCACTTAGCCTCCTCCGCAGGCCTCTCTATGGGTTCTAGCCTGCGAATGGGTTTTGAAAAAAAAATTTTCTGGGAGAGAGGCCTGTCATAAATCGAACAAAATAGACGTATCTCAAATATTAGTGGCCGTGTCACGTTACCCCACCCCCTAAGTAGGCTTTTGACCCTAATTATATATTCAGTTTGAAATCTTCGGGCGAGGAGCGAAACTTGCGAGTATTAACTCAAAAATG